ATCTTGGATACACTCTCCATTTAGACATACCTAATTGTTTAGCTTGTTCACCCATCTATCCGTCCCTATACCCATGTTTGCTTTCACTGACAACTCAGTATTGTATATGCAAAGGGGTTCATATTTGTTGTTTGTACTGCCCATGTAACTCTCTCTGTCTTTCTCAAGGGAGTGGATTTTTGACTCAGAAAGATCCTACAGAACAAGGTAGATCTGCCCCATAGAGTTTCCAAGGTTGTAATCTTTAAGGAAGCAGACCACCACATCTCTCTCCCATAGAGTGGTTAGTGGGTTTGAACTCCCAACCTTTTGGTTGGCAGCCAAGAGCTTAACCAATGGACCACAAAGTACACAGAGTTGCTAAATACTCCCTTTCCCCCTGCACACAAGTTCTCCTATTACTGACACCTTGCATTGGTGTGGTATTTCTGTTACAAACGATGAACGAATATCGATACATAGTATTAACTAGAGGCCATAGTTTATATTAAGGTTCACTCTTTGTGTTGTATTCCACTTCACTTTTAAGATCACTTCTTGTTCTGAGGAAGCAGGTATTAGTCATCCTTTATAAGTGGCCTTTAAACCGAACATGTCTGAAGTTCACACTATTCCTAAATCTCTTTCCCAAAGAATTGGGAGATGGGGGGGAAAAAAGCATCATAATCATTGAAGGAGAGTTGAGAGGATCTTCCCACAGTCTTACCTTCAGTAGGTTTAGGACTTTCTTGCCAAGATCCAGCTCAAAGTTGGCATAATTAGAACCGCCCATGTCATAGATAAACACCAGTCCATTCCTCTGAGTTTCAAAGCTGTAAGCCAATCATTGAACAAAAACATTTGTAAGTAATAGATGGATGAGGCAGGTTGAAAGCCTGGGGCAATGACATATAGAACACATATGAGACCAAAGTAACTGCCTCCTTGAACAAATGGTCTTACAAAAAAAGATGTATCTGCTATGATTATTGATGTAGATTTATCTACACTTACCAAGTGCTCAACTCCTAGGTTGAGAATGCTCCAGAGCAACTAGATCATGAAAATTTGAACAATTTTTTCCTCACTCTTCAAAAATTGCCTATCCTGATTTGATATGTTTTCCACAGCTTACAAAGTTTCCTCTTCCATAAATGTCTCTCTGATAATTATTCAAATGTACTACATCTTTCCTCTATTCATTTTTTTTAATTTTCCTTCCCTTTCCCTCCCATTTGGTAACCAACAAAGAAAATTTCCTTCCATTATGTCAACTTTTCCTTAACTTTTTATAATAGTGGACTAATACAGTATCTGTCTTTCTGTAATTGACTTTTCACTAAGTGTAATGTTCTCCAACTTCATCCATGTTATGAAGTGTTTCATGGATTCTACATTATTTAGTGTTGCACAGTTATTCCATTGTGTATATGTACCATAGTTTGGTTATCCATTCCTATGTTGATGGGCACGTAGGCTGTTTCCATCTCTTTACTATTATGAATAGTCCTGCGATAAACACGGCACACATATCTATTTGTGTCCTGGCTCTCACACTTTTTTAGGGTATATACCTAGAAATAGAATTGCTGGATCAAATGGTATTCCTATTCTCAACTTTTTAAGAAATTGCTATACCATTTTCCACAGTGGTTTTATCATTTTACAGTCCCAATCTCTCCACAGACTCACCAACATTTATTATTTTCTGTCATGTTGAACTTTGCAATTATTGCTGGAGTGAGATGGTACAAATTTACTACATCTTTCATCCCCTTGAGGTCTCATAAATCTTCCAATGGATTTTTCTTGTGACCTTATAATACTGCTAAGGCATTTGTCTGCTAATCAGAAAGTTGGCAGGTCAAACCCACCAGCCACTCCGTGGAAGGAAGATGGGGCAATCTACTTCCATAGAGATCTGGAAACTCAATGGGGGCTGCTACGAGTTGTAATCGACTTGATGGCAGTGAGTTTTTTTTTTCCCAGTCTGCAATATTCCAACTCTGTGTAACCATATAATTCTCCCCTAGAGGGCACAAATCTGTCTTGTTTAACAAATTACCCCCAACAGTCCCTAGTACAGCCCCTGCAAACAGGTACATAATAAATGGTCAATGAATTGTAATTCAATGGGTAGAAGCCCCCATCAGTAAGATATATTTTATACTTGTAGGGAACTGATTAATTTGTCTCTTTTGACTTCAATGGAGGAAGAAAACAAATCCAATGTCATGACTTGAATTATGTCCCCCAAAATTTGTGTTAACTTGACTGGGCCATGAATCTCAATGGTTTCCAGAACAAAAACCAAACACACTGCCAATGAGTCAAATCCAACTCACAGCGACCCTGCCTTGGGTTTCTGAGGCTTATCTCTATAGAAGTAGACTGCCCAGTCTTTCTTCCAAGGAGTGGCTAGTGGTTCAAACCCTTATGCATTACGCCACCAGAACTTCTCAATGGTTTAGCGGTTATGTAATGATATGGTTTAGCAGTTATGTAACGATATTCGATGATGTTATCTGATGTGATAAACCAATCAGGTGTAAGAGGATTAAGGGTGGGGTGCAATACTCTTAGTCCCATCACAGCCCTGATGCAATGTAAAGGGAGCTCCCCTGGGGTGTATCCTGCTACATCTTACAAGTGACAAAAGGAGAGAGAAGGGAGCAGAGAGGGGGGACCTACTACCACCAAGAAAGAAGAGCCAGGAGCAGAGCACATCCTTTGGACCCAAGGTTCCTGCATCAGGATCTTCCTAGGACCAAGAGACACACAGAGAGAAAGCCTTTCCCTACAGCTGGGCACTCTGACTTCTAGCCTCCTAAACTGTGAAAGAATAAATTTCTGTTTGGTAAAGCCATCCACTTGTGGTATTTCTGTTACAATAGCACTAGATAATAATTAAGACACCCACCAATGAGCTTTGGAAAGCATCTTAAAAAAATAAATTTAAGAGGTGGTGAGCCTATTTCCAAATTGAACTGAGGAATGTACAAAAAGTGTTCCCCCTCAGTCCTACCTCAAAGTTGCACTCTTCCACCTAGTCAATTCTTTGCTTCTGATCTGCATACTTAATGGTCATTAAACAAAAACCCAAACTCATTGCTGTCGAGTCGATTTCGACTCATAACAACACCTCCTTGGGTTTGAACCACCAGCCTTCTGGTTTACAGTCAAATGCCTTACGCACTACACCACCAGAGCTCCCTAATGGTCAGTAGGAATCATTTATTTTATCAGACTACTACTCACAGTTGATAACAACAGTTTTCACATCTATTTACAATGAGAAAACTATTCAACACAAAACATCCCTGAAATCAGGGACCTGAATGTTACTTTCTACCCCAATTTTTTGCCTTATCTCCTGGAACTCTCATATCTTCATCCCTTTAACAACATCCAAGGCAGAGGCATCCATCTATGATGTTACATTTCAAAATTCTCTAATTCTCAAGTAATACCAGTTTCTCCAGGAGACTTAGTTTCAAACAGACCCTAATGTCTTATAGTTAATGCAAAATCTTGACTCCTTTTTTTAACTCCAGAGAGACTATGATTGACCGAGATGAAAGATGCTGTTAGATACATAGCACGATTATTGAGGAAACTACCCAGGTCTAGCGACTTTCCATTTCTGCATGAGTTCATCAACAACCAAATTCAAAGGATTATGTTTTCTCCTCAGAGCACCAGCCTATGGAAAGTCAGTGCTATGGGAAAGAGAATTTAATAAAGAGCAGCTCTGGTGCATAATGATCCAGATTCAATATTCCCAGATCTGAAACTGCTCATCCTGTGAAGGCACATGAAATAAATACAAATGTAGTAGGATTTTCACCCTTCTGGGTACAGAATTGTAGTGCAGTTTGATTCCTGAGCTAGATGCTCCAAGAAAACCCCAAGACATTTAAAACATAGCCATTTAAAACATAAAATATCAGTTATGTTCAAAATAATTAGGGGTAGGATAGGGGCAATCAATGAAATTAGGTTGGCTATAAATCACTGTTGAAGAAGTTGAATGCTGGGTATGCAGAGATGTATTATACTGTTCTCTCTCCATCCATGTATGGGTGAAATTTTCTATTGTATATTAAAAAACAGGTCTCTGCCCTCAAGGAGCTTATAATCTACTGGTATATGAAGAATCAAGTAAGAGTAAGATAAGCAACATCATAAGGTCATGTATAATTATGATTTATAATGGTAATAACTGCTATTAAGGTCAACATAGAAAGAATTTTATTTATGATAAGGTGGCGTGACCTGGGCATCACGGAAGTTGGGTCTGAAAGGGCAGAATTCAGTGAACAGGAAGGAAGAAGGAAGACTACTCTGGCACAAGAAAAGAGAATTTCTACTCCCTGGGGAGCCAGTAAGAATTTTTTGCTAGAAGGAAAGGGTTCACACTTATTTATTAGCTTTATGCACTCTTGATAATGAGGAGTCACTAAGGGTTTTTAAGAAAAGAACAGACTTCATGAAAGCAAAGTTTTAACAGTCTGGTCCTCCTATGGGATCCAATATTCACACCAGAAAGAGAAGCTTTGGCCACTGAAGACTCCTCCTGCCATGCCTACATGAGCACCCTTGAGTCTCTCAATATCCCAAGGAGAAAGGTTAATACCAAATTTTCTAGGGAAGTACCCTTTCATTCATTCCCCTGAGCTAAAGAAGCATTCAAAGGAACCCATATTCTGGAAATTAGGAGGCAGAGCTAAGAAATAACACCCTTCTACTCGGAGAATACAAGGCCACTGAGACCAGTAGTCCTCATCCCTTAGCAACTTCTCTTTTATAGAGAAGTGTGTGGTTTCGATATAGCTCCCAGAGCTTCTACCGCAGAAGTTAAGTACTATGAAAGCAACATAAACAAGGAAATAAGTGAACTGGACAGAGAATCTCACTTTGGACAGTCCATCAGCTTTTCCTATCCTTTCAGTCTACGGTATGACTGAAGTTGTATATAGCTGTGTTTCATTGTCTCAGGCATCAGCCCTCAAAATATAACTTCTAAACCAGAGGACTAGCCAATGATGTGAAGAGCAGCAACAAATTATGAATGCTAAGCACCAGGGAAAAAGGAAGCATGGCAGAAAAGTCGTGTCATAGGGTACAAAGAAGTCAAGGAGTCAAGAAACCAGGCTCTTAGACCCAGGTGGACCAATATGTGATAACTCTGAGTCATGTAAACTTCTTGGGGTTTTAGTTTCTTTGTTTGTAGAATACAAAAAATATCATTTACTTTAGAGGGAAATGGAAAGATGACCTGAGCTGGTTCTTTTTGCTTACACCCCTATTTATAAAGATGATATTAATTTTATGCTTTTAGATTCTTTTCCTTGAATGTTATCAAAATCCTCTGAACTAAATGAAATTACTCTTATTTATACACAAATAAACTGAGGCCCCAGAGAATTCTGATAATTAACGTTCAGGGGAGAATTCATAACAAGAACCAGAATAAGTCATTTCCTCCTCACTCCCTTCTAGTAAGTAATTCTCAATACACTGAGGATTGCTAACAGTTGACCTTCTCAGTTTCTGTTGTCCTAAAATCAAGCCAAGCAGGTAAAGATACAGAAATACCCACCATATTGATAGCACCTCGAAATATGCCAAGCCCTTAAGGAAATGGACTGTTTTCTGTTCATAGCACTGCCCAGGGTGCACCCTAGCAGCATGACAAAGGAACTGCTGAGTTTGAGTCAAGGATTATCACTTTCCTATCCGGATGCAGACCACCTAAAAAATAATCTCCATACTCACCTATCCACAGCTCTGTCTAGCAAGTAAAACAGAGCCTGAAGTACCACATGTTGGACTGACTTATGGGGATGATGCAACCTGGCAGTGAAAAGAGCAATAGAGGCTCCTGTTGGGTCTCGAACATTCTGAGCAAAGAAAACAAGAAACATTTAGAAATCAAAATAGAAAACCACAGTAATTGCTAAGGATTCTTAGGTCCTAGAAAAAAATTTGAAGGGTGAAGGGAACAGATGCTAGGAATACTTCCCTGACTTCCATCAATTTCTCCAGAAAGCAAAAAAAGTTTTTATCATCCCATTCTTGATTCTCTGAGCCACCCCTGGACCATATTCCTGTGGTAGTGAAAAAACATATTGTCTTTGCTCTTCAGTTATAGAGAAATCAAACAGTAGTTCTACACTAGCTGCCTAGGTAATTTCCCAGTCAGAATGGCAAATGAAACAAGCAGCAGGGTAGAACTATACAATAGGACCACGGTTTCCATGCTCTGCCTCATAAGTATCATCATATACTTATCTGAAAAGCTGAGAACTCCTAGTAGAAAACTCCAGATAAGTAAGGAAGGATGGGTCTCTGATATATAGTATACCCATACCCATCCCAAAGGTCTTTCTTGATTAACTGACCAATAAGGCAACTTTTCTAAGTCTACCACACAACTAAGTCTCCATAATGTTGATTATTACTAGAATAATTTTATGCCATACTGCACAGCTGCTTCATATCTATTCCCAACTGTTGAGACTTACTATATTTGGGATAAGATACCTAGGAATAAAGTCAAAACAAGACAACAGCTATCAGAGGAAGTGATGAAGCACTACAAGAGGGGTCCGTGAAGACTCACTAAGATTGTGAACTTTCCACTGAGGATTTCAGAACGGAGAGGTTCCTCATGAGGTTTCAGCTTCACAATGCCTTCCTTCCTTCGTGTTTCCTAAAAACGAAGTGCAGCAAAATGAATTAACATAAAAATACTGTATATTCAGTACCACCACCACCACCACCACCCCCCAAAAAAAAACTGCTACTGAGTTGATTCTGACTCATAGCAACCCTTTAGGACAAAGCAGAACTGCCCCATATATCTTCCGAGGCTATTAAATCTTTATGGAGGCAGACTATCTCATCTTTCTCCTGCAGAGTGGCTGGTGGTTTGAACCACTGACCTTCTGGTTAGCAGCTAAATGCTTTAACTACTATGCCACCAGAGTTTCTCCACATATTCAAGGACAGCTTCATATAATTACTAGATCTCAGAGACAGGGGACTTCAGAAGAAGTCAACTAGTTGAACCATAAATTCCTTGGTAAATCCCCTTTCAGGCCAGCTGAGTATGATTAGAATTCCTGTCCAATGTCACCTTACCAGCACCACCTCCCCAGGCAGGTTATTTTTCTCTGAATTAGTAAGAATCCTGGCACACACTCAACCAGTATGTACCATTAGAGACTAGGTCAAAGTTCCTGAATATGCAGTAGTACTTTGCATTAGGATATTGACATAAAGACCTAAGAATTACCTGAAAGTATGTATGTTCACATACCCTCGAGAATCAGGCCTCTCCTATCTTAAGTAGGAGCTTTTCTCTCTATTCTATGTCCTCTCCAACACCACCTATGATGATTTCATTCTCCGGCAAGATTTTTTAAATTCACCCTCAGTTCCCACCTCCTACTCCCACTGTATTCTGGTCCTCACAATTAAAGTACTCCACTGGAAGTTTTGTGCAGGACCTTTGTCCTGTGACCTCTGTCACTGATTCCACTAGACATTTTCAGTCCTTTTACACGATGATGTTGACTATTCATATTCCCTTCTTCGTGAAACATTTGCTATCTTTGGATAACATGATGACAAAATAAAAAAATATTCTTGGTTTTCCTATTTCTTCAACTATTCCTCCTAAGTCTCTTTTGTGGTCACCCCCCATTCATTTGTTCCTCAATTCACTCATTTATCCATTCAATTCACCAACTCACTCATGCTACAGATATTTGTAGAGTACCTATTAATTGCCAGGCATTAAACTAAGTGCTAGGAGCATCCCAGTGAATAAAACTAGATCTTTGTTTATATTCTTCTCCAATCCATCCCTAAAATCAAATTTCTAAATGTCTTTAGAGACAAGGCAGAAAGATATATAACTGAAGATAGTGTTAGTGGTAGGATCATACCTAAAGCATTTGAATTCAACTTTTGAGAAAATACTGGACCAAAGAAAGAAAAATGTCTGAGGTGAGATTCTACCCGAGACATCTTCCTGTTCCTCATACTTTCCCTCAATGACTTCATCCATTCTCATGGCTTTAATGTTCAGCTCTATTTTGGTGACTTTAAATCTCTATTTCTAGCCCAGATTTATTTTCTAAACCCTAGACTTATATATCTGGTAACTACTTAGAGGACATATCCATTTGGATATACCAAAGCCACTTCAAACTTATTATGGCTAAAACCAAATTTATAATTTTCTCTCTCCACACTCCTGCACAGTGTCTCCTGAATTAGTGAATGTCATCACCATTTACCCTGCTCCCCAAGTTATAAACCTGGAATCCTTGACTCATCTTTCCTCAAACACCAATTTAAACAACCTTGTCCTACTGATTTTACTTCTCTAGAATCTGCTCATTTCTCTAGAATCTGTCCACTTTTCTCCAGGTCCCATGACACTGTTCTTACTGACACTACAATCATCTCTCTTGCAGGTAAGTGCAACAGCCTTCCATAATTTGTCTTTCTGCTTCCAGTCTAGCCCTTCTGATCCATTCTCTATAGCACTAAGAGAAAAAATCTTCCAGAATGCAGACATGAACTAGTCATTCCCCTACTTATATCATTAATAAAATAAAAAGTAGATACTCCCTGATCTCTATTTTTTTTCTTTAAACTTTTTATTGTGATTTGAGTGAAAGTTTAGAGTAAACTGTCTTCTATTAACAATTTCATAGTTTGCTGCCCAATCTCTTGCCATGCCCCCATTCCCACCAACATTCCTGCCCAGGAGACTTTTTCTCTTGGTTTTGAGCATCTGAAGTTGCTGTTCTCTTTGCCACACTCTCCAACCTATCTGATTCCTACTCATCCTTCAGAACTTAACTTATAAAATATTTCCTTCAGGAAGGCTTTCTTGACCCTCCTAACTATGCTTCCACAGAACCTAGTATTACCCTTTCATATTTATCAAACACTGTTCTACAATTGCTTAACCTGTCTTTCTAAACAGTAATCTCTGCATTTAGAACATAGTAGGTACACAGTAAGTATCTGTTGAATAAATGAATATTGAATATGCTCACCCACATGATAGGTGAAAGTAAGCTTTAGTCCTAAACTAACTTTACTGTTATCCTAATTTTTGTTTTTAATCTAAGGAAATTAGATTAAAATAAAAATCAAAACAAAGTAACAGGCTGTGCAACTATATCTGCATAGCAATAATGTCAAGACAATGGACCTAACTAATATAATTGCTCTTTTCTTCCAGATCTAAACCTCCCCTTCTTGAACTAAACCACCCACTAAGTATTCATCTGAATGACAGGTTTTTAAACACCTCAGACATCCTGAAAACTAGTAGAGTGAAAGGGGCATGTGGCCAGAAACCAGATAGAAGAGCTAGGACTCAAAACTCCAGGAAATGTGAACTATTCATCCTGCCACCAAGATGACATGAGGCACCTCCTAATTTTCCATCATGAGAGATGGTTCTTGCTCTACAATTATAATTTAGGCACATTAGTGTGCCTTCCAGGAGCTGCAGTGCTGAGCCTCAACTATCCAAGAACTCTTGTGAGACTGATGATCTTCTCATGGGAAGGGGACAGCACTTAAGAGAACCACAGTAACACCACTACCACAGGTCTGGTCCATCCTTGAGCAACGTACTCTGTAGGAGTGGAATAACTCTATGGCACGGAGTACATCAAACTTCCTGGCCATGAGGAATTTGACAGCTACATTCCAAGAGAGCGGAGAAACGTTGTACTGAACTGTCCACTTGTTAATCTCTTCAAGAAACTGCTTGGTGGCCTGTTTGACAAAGAAAGAATAATTAGTAAAAAGAGAACATATTTATGGAACCAAAAACAATTATCCTTTCTTCAAGCAAGTCTGAACCTAAAGTCTACAACAAGGAAATAGAGAAAGACAAAAGGTGGAAGCAGTTGTGAAGCCAGAAACAGTTAAAGATGCATACAAACACAGTGAGGCCAGAAGCCAGACCCAGGTTGAGAGACTAAGGCCTACCACAAGGATGCATGGAAAAACAATGATGGGGAAGACCAGGGCACCCAAATGAGATGCAAATTACTGGGCCCAAAATGGAAAAACAAGCAGAGAGTTTGTTGTTGCTGTTGTTGCTGTTACTGTTTTGAAGGGAAAAAAAGGTGGTTGGGGCCTCTGAAGAGCTATTCCCTAATGTACAGTGTAGTCTCAGCTGCTGCTTTGGCCCAAAAGCCAACTGGACACAGCAAAACAATTAAAATCGTTTTGACTTTGAAATTAGGAGGACAATATGAGAGCAGCAAAATTATTAGGAAGAATTTAACAAATGAACTGTTTTTTGTTCTGACTGACCCCAAAGGACCTATTCATGCTTCACACAGCAGCCATGCCACTAGGGTCCAGAGTCATTAGCAGCTTTCTACACAGTGGTTGAAGGAGCCCTGGTGGTGCAATTTGTTATGCACTAGGCTGCTAACAGAAAGGTCGGCAGTCCGTGGGAGAAAAGACCTGGTGATCTGCTCCATAAAATATTACTCCCTAGGAAACACTTTGTAATCATACAGGTCTGCTATGAGTTGGAATCAACTCGACAGTACACATCAACAGATAGTGGCTTGATTTAGAAGGAACCCTAGTACTGGGGGAAAGGGTTGTTGTTGTTGTTGTTGTTGTTGTTGTTATGTGCCGTCGAGTCAAACCCGACTCATAGTGACCCCTCCTTGGGTTTC